TACTCCCTCCATTCCATATTAACTTAAGTTTTGAGGTGTTTCACACCCTTTAAGAAAAGTAGGTTAGGACACAAATTGAACATAATTTTCTATTTTTACCCTTATTAATTATTGTCAAAAATAACTAAACATTAATTATAATAACTAATTCCAATACTAACTTAAAGGGTAAAATTAGAAGAATATTTTAAAAATAGTCTTGAAGATTGGAAACTTAAGTTAATTTGAAAAATGGAAAAAGACTTAAAGCTTAAGTTAATATGAAATGGAGGGAGTAAAAGACATTTGTGAGATAAAAAAGGGAGGACATACAGGAATTTCTTGGTAATTCAAGCTAATCCATTGCTAAAACACTTGTAGTTAATTGAATTTTTATTGTTAAAACACTTTTAGTTATACTAATTATACGTATCTAGAATACTAATGTCGATTAATAAGACTTATGTTTTATATTTAAAAACACAAGGCATAATCATTTGAAGGTTATCCATTCTGTTACCAAGTCTTAACCGCAAGCAAAGCAAAGCAAATGCTCTATCTCAACTAAATATTCCACTCTCTTCAATGGCGCTTCAGCTGCCATTCCCACTGCTCTCTTCCTCCTTATCATCATTCCCCTTGTTATCTTCTTCACACTGCAAAATTTACTCAATTCCCTTTACTCATAAACCTCTTTTATCTTCCTCCAATGTACAAATTCTTGGATTTAGTAGCAGAAGCACTTCACTGGGGCCTCTGTTTGTCAGTAAAGAAGACACCCAATTGACTAATGAGGAAGAAAGTTCCATTTCCACTGCAACCCAACAAGATGACGATGACCCGGATCCTGAATCGCTTGAATACGTTTCTCAAATTAAACGAGTTTAGTCTTCTTCTTCTTTTGGCTTTTACCCAATTCGGATTGTGCTGTTTCTGATGTATATATGGTTGTAAATTTTGTAGGCGTTGGAACTTCTTAAGAGGAATCGGGATATGCTTTTCGGTGAGGTGTGAATTTACTTTTATCTTTTGAATTTTCCACAATATTAACGAGGCTGCCTACTTGTATAAGCTCACTGCATTTACCAAGTTTGTAGTGCTTTTTGCATATTTTCACTGTTTCTTCAGCTAATAATAATGTTATCTGATAGATGTTGGTGCCTCTCCCTTTTTAGTACCATATCGATTGTCTTAGTTAGAGTTAGAACTAAAGCTTAGTTACATTAGCTTCCTCTTATAGAGGCTTGCTTCTTCAAGTTCAAGTTCCGTTTGTTGCTTTACATTTTGATAGAAATAGGTGCTTGCAGCTTCTCTCTTTATCTACTAAATGAGCCTTCATTGACTGCTTGCGATTCCCTAATTAAGTAACCAAACCAATACTTGTAATAATTTAAACACATTGCATTATAATAAAAGGGATAATATTTATTGCCGTAAAAATATTTAGCGACAATTGAATTAGTGTTATTGCATTCAGAATTGCTAAAACCTTTAATGACATTTATATGTATAGAATACTGATTATAAATATTTGTATTATATTTTCACCGCTGCTAAATAATTGTTCTGCTAAACAATTGTCGCTAAAAGAAAAAATTACTATTATAAAATGTCTAATTTTGTTATAGATTGTAACTAATTGATTTTAAAGTCCAACCCTAATTTGTGAGATTAGGCCAATATATTTCTAAAATGGTTTCTATTTAATTATTTATTGAATAGAGATTATAATTTGTAGATATCATGATCATGAGTTAATTATGATCATATGAAGAAATAATCATTGAGTGTCGTTCTAGCTAGCTGAGTAGCTAGCCAGTGCTTAATATCATAACTATATATTTAATATGATATTACTCACATATAGTAAAAGTTTCTCATGTCAATCATATCACACAATTAGTTAACAAGTTATTTAGCATATATAGTTTGATTCCAAAACCTAATATGCATACTAGTTAGAATGTTGAATAGAAATTTTTTATAATTTTCGAGTACCTTAGAGTTCCAATTTTGATATTTTCAATGTGATATGTATCCGACTTATTATTGTGATTTGTATATTAGACATATCTATAAATATATTTGTTTTCTGTGTTTCTAGGGTTGGGATCCTACACATCATCGTGCCATCCATTTTGGAATTTGTTATTTTGTGGCGCTATGATTGTACGAAGTTTTACCATTGCCTCCTGTATTTTTAAATCCGATATTTTGTGGCGTGATAGTTATGCAACGCCCTAATATTATCTTGCATTTGATAGCACATTCCTTGGTTAAAACGTACCATTATTATAACTTTTTATATCAAACTTGAATTAACAAAATGATTTGATATTTTAAAAACTACACTTTTAACGAATATAATTTGACATATATCTCAAATCTCAACTCAATATATAGAAGGAAATATATGATAGCTTGAAGTTAGGTCATGTGAGACTATATATGAATCATTTTCTTTCCTTAAATATTTTCTAACTTATTTCAAATTGCATCTCCACTGCTTTACACATGTAAAGTTTTAAACACAATCTTCCAAACATAAGATTTAGTCTTTTTTTTCTCTTTGGAATTGGAAGGATTTTATTTATTTAATAGTAGCTAGGTTCATCCATACAAAAAGGAACCGATCTAAACGATATAGTTCTATTCTCATCTCCTTTAAGATCAACTTTTAAAGTAAAGGAAGGAGATGCTTCAAAAACAAACAACTTGTTCATATGCGTATTTGGATCCATAGTCTTCCTTCCATATTCCGCTAATATGTCTGCTACTGAGTTAGCCTCCTTCATTATATGTTTTATTGTTGATCCTCCCATCAGTAGGAGCATTGACCTGCAATTCGAATAAATGTGAGAGTGTATTGATTTAGAACTTTCTTAAGTGTTAAGTAATAAGATTTAGTCATTACATCCCTCTATATAACACTTCAAATAAGATCACAATTTTTTTTTATGGTTGGTGATTCACAATAGACTATCCACTTCTCAAATACTTATTACTCCCTCCATTCCATATTAACTTAAGTTTTGAGGTGTTTCACACCCTTTAAGAAAAGTAGGTTAGGACACAAAATTGAACATAATTTTCTATTTTTACCCTTATTAATTATTGTCAAAAATAACTAAACATTAATTATAATAACTAATTCCAATACTAACTTAAAGGGTAAAATTAGAAGAATATTTTAAAAATAGTCTTGAAGATTGGAAACTTAAGTTAATTTGAAAAATGGAAAAAGACTTAAAGCTTAAGTTAATATGAAATGGAGGGAGTAAAAGACATTTGTGAGATAAAAAAGGGAGGACATACAGGAATTTCTTGGTAATTCAAGCTAATCCATTGCTAAAACACTTGTAGTTAATTGAATTTTTATTGTTAAAACACTTTTAGTTATACTAATTATACGTATCTAGAATACTAATGTCGATTAATAAGACTTATGTTTTATATTTAAAAACACAAGGCATAATCATTTGAAGGTTATCCATTCTGTTACCAAGTCTTAACCGCAAGCAAAGCAAAGCAAATGCTCTATCTCAACTAAATATTCCACTCTCTTCAATGGCGCTTCAGCTGCCATTCCCACTGCTCTCTTCCTCCTTATCATCATTCCCCTTGTTATCTTCTTCACACTGCAAAATTTACTCAATTCCCTTTACTCATAAACCTCTTTTATCTTCCTCCAATGTACAAATTCTTGGATTTAGTAGCAGAAGCACTTCACTGGGGCCTCTGTTTGTCAGTAAAGAAGACACCCAATTGACTAATGAGGAAGAAAGTTCCATTTCCACTGCAACCCAACAAGATGACGATGACCCGGATCCTGAATCGCTTGAATACGTTTCTCAAATTAAACGAGTTTAGTCTTCTTCTTCTTTTGGCTTTTACCCAATTCGGATTGTGCTGTTTCTGATGTATATATGGTTGTAAATTTTGTAGGCGTTGGAACTTCTTAAGAGGAATCGGGATATGCTTTTCGGTGAGGTGTGAATTTACTTTTATCTTTTGAATTTTCCACAATATTAACGAGGCTGCCTACTTGTATAAGCTCACTGCATTTACCAAGTTTGTAGTGCTTTTTGCATATTTTCACTGTTTCTTCAGCTAATAATAATGTTATCTGATAGATGTTGGTGCCTCTCCCTTTTTAGTACCATATCGATTGTCTTAGTTAGAGTTAGAACTAAAGCTTAGTTACATTAGCTTCCTCTTATAGAGGCTTGCTTCTTCAAGTTCAAGTTCCGTTTGTTGCTTTACATTTTGATAGAAATAGGTGCTTGCAGCTTCTCTCTTTATCTACTAAATGAGCCTTCATTGACTGCTTGCGATTCCCTAATTAAGTAACCAAACCAATACTTGTAATAATTTAAACACATTGCATTATAATAAAAGGGATAATATTTATTGCCGTAAAAATATTTAGCGACAATTGAATTAGTGTTATTGCATTCAGAATTGCTAAAACCTTTAATGACATTTATATGTATAGAATACTGATTATAAATATTTGTATTATATTTTCACCGCTGCTAAATAATTGTTCTGCTAAACAATTGTCGCTAAAAGAAAAAATTACTATTATAAAATGTCTAATTTTGTTATAGATTGTAACTAATTGATTTTAAAGTCCAACCCTAATTTGTGAGATTAGGCCAATATATTTCTAAAATGGTTTCTATTTAATTATTTATTGAATAGAGATTATAATTTGTAGATATCATGATCATGAGTTAATTATGATCATATGAAGAAATAATCATTGAGTGTCGTTCTAGCTAGCTGAGTAGCTAGCTAGTGCTTAATATCATAACTATATATTTAATACTCCCTTCGTCCCTTTTTAGTTGTCCACTTCAGAAATGGCACACAGATTAAGGCAACAATGATTAGCACTGTGAAGTTACAATTTTACTCTTATGACAACTTTTCACTTCAAAATTACAACCACTTATTTGAATTCAAGTGAAATAAATTGGAGGGAAACAACATACACTTTTACAATTTTCAAGAAGTGTAAATAAGGGTATAATATGAAAAAATTTGTTGTCCTTTCTTGATTTGTCAAAATGGACAACTAAATAGGGACAACCAAAAAGGAAATATGGACAAGTAAATAGGGACGGAGGGAGTATGATATTACTCACATATAGTAAAAGTTTCTCATGTCAATCATATCACACAATTAGTTAACAAGTTATTTAGCATATATAGTTTGATTCCAAAACCTAATATGCATACTAGTTAGAATGTTGAATAGAAATTTATTATAATTTTCGAGTACCTTAGAGTTCCAATTTTGATATTTTCAATGTGATATGTATCCGACTCATTATCGTGATTTGTATATTAGACTTATCTATAAATATATTTGTTTTCTATGTTTCTAGGGTTGAGATCCTACACATTATCGTGCCATCCATTTTGAAATTTGTTATTTTGTGGCGCTATGATTGTACGAAGTTTTACCATTGCCTCCTGTATTTTTAACCCCGATGTTTTGTGGCATGATAGTTATGCGACACCCTAATATTATCTTGCATTTGATAGCACATTCCTTGGTTAAAACGTACCATCATTATAACTTTTTATATCAAACTCGAATTAACAAAATGATTTGATATTCTAAAAACTAGACTTTTAATGAATATAATTTGACATATATCTTAAAGCTCAACTCAATATATAGAAGGAAATATATGATAGCTTGAAGTTAGGTCATGTGAGACTATATATGAATCATTTTCTTTCCTTAGATATTTTCTAACTTATTTCAAATTGCATCTCCACTACTTTACACATGAAAAGTTGTAAACAATCTTCCAAACATATAAGATTTAGTAATTACATCCCTTTATATAACACTTCAAATAAGATCACAATTTTTTTTGTATGGTTGGTGATTCACAATAGACTATCCACTTCTCAATTACTTATTAAAAGACATTTGTGAATTTGGCATATGTGAGATAAAAAGGGAGGACATACATTGCGGAATTTCTTGGTAATTCTAGCTAATCCATTGCTAAAAAAACTTCTAGTTAATTGAATTTTTAATTTATTGCTAAATAAAATTAACATAAGATTTTTGTGGTTCAATTATGAAATTTTGTTCTATCACTAATTTCTCGTTTTGAAGCTGGAGACACCATTGAAACATGCTTTTAGGGAAGCTAATAATTTTACAAACACATCAATTTAAAAAAATGGAAACAATCTAGGTTATTTTGGAAACTTAGGGATCGTTTGGTGTGATAGATAAGGAAAAATAATTCTGAGATAAGTTTTTAGTACATCTCAATTTTTTTGTTTGGTTACAAAGTGTGTGGTAATTTATTCCATAATTAATACTTACGATCGCCATAAATTATACTCCCTTCGTCCCATTTTATATGTCATCCCTTTCTATAAATAGTTGGTCTATAATACTTGTCATTTCATAAAATCAATGCATAAATTACCATATTCTTCCCTTTTTACCCTTGTGAGTTATTAGCCTTGAAAATATAAATTTGACCAACTTAGAAAAGCTAAGTAAATGATTCATGTTCATTGGTTAAATTAATTAATCAAAATAAATTAATTCATATTTATTGATCGGAAACTTGAGTTCCATAAAATTTAAATAAATGTAGAAGGGTAAAATTACATCATTTCTTAGTACAAGTATAAAGTAAAATTACATCATTTCTTAGTACAAGTGTAAAGTAAAAATGTGACATATAAAATGGAACGGAGGGAGTATCTACTTGTGAGTAGAATACTAATCTGGATTAAAATGAATGTTTTATATTTAAAAAAACACAAGGCATAATCATTTTTAAGGTTATCCATTCTGTTACCAAGTTTTAACCGCAAGCAAAGCAAATGCTCTATCTCAACTAAATATTCCACTATCTTCAATGGCGCTTCAGCTGCCATTCCCACTGCTCTCTTCATCCTTATCATCACTCCCCTTGTTATCTTCTTCATACTGCAAAATTTGCTCAATTCCCATCTCACCCTTTACTCATAAACCTCTTTTATCTTCCTCCAATGTACAAATTCTTGGATTTAGTAGCAGAGGCAGAGGCAGAAGCACTTCATTGGGGCCTCTGTTTGTGAGTAAAGAAGACACCCAATTGACTAATGAGGAAGAAGGTTCCATTTCCACTGTTACCCAACAAGATGACGATGACCCAGATCCTGAATCCCTTGAATACGTTTCTCAAATTAAACGAGTTTAGTCTTCTTATTCTTTTGGCTTTTACCCAATTCGGATTGTGCTGTTTCTGATGTATATATGCTTGTAAATTTTGTAGGCGTTGGAGCTTCTTAAGAGGAATCGGGACATGCTGTTCGGTGAGGTGTGAATTTACTTTTATCTTTTGAATTTTCCACAATATTAAACGAGGCTGCCTACTTGTATAAGCTCACTGCATTTACCAAGTTTGTAATGCATTTTGCACATCTTCAGTGTTTCTTCAGCTAATGTTATCTGAAAGATGTTGGTTCCTCTCCTTTTTTTAGTGCCATATTGATTTTCTTAGTTAGAGTTAGAACTAAAAGCTTAGTTACATTAGCTTCCTCTTATAGAGGCTTGCTTCTTCAAGGTCAAGTTCAAGTTCAAGTTCCGCTTGTTGCTATACATTTTGATAGAAATAGGTGCTTGCAGCTGGCTCGTTATCTACTAAATGAGCCTTCATTGACTGCTTGCGATTCCCTAATTAAGTAACCAAACCAATACCTGTCATTTTGAACAGACAATGGTATATTTGGAGCATTTGAAGTGGACAAACAATCAACGTGCACAATTGAGTTTCGTGCCATCATGTGTACCAGTCTGGTGTTTATGAGGAGATCTTTTTCTTCCAATTGGGGACCTGTAAGTCCATGTAGGAGTAAGCGTGAGATTTAGACAAGTGTAAATTGAAAGAGACTTAATTTGTTTGTTTTGTCTTTCAGTACTGAAATGAAATGGACTTGAATACAGTGGAACGGATACTAAAGATTTTCATAGTCAAACCCAACTAACTTGGGATTGAGGAATAGTTGATTAATTAATTGGTAGACTGTTTTAGTTAACTATCTCTATGGGGTAATTTAAATGTCAAATTGTTTCTAGATTGACCAACTCCTTTGGGTTTATTACAGGTTAAATTGACTATAATGATTGAAGATCCCAGGGACGTTGAGCGAAGGCGGCTGCTTGGCATTGACGATGAAAATGCTCCAACAAGGGATGACTTAGCTGCCTGTTTAGAAGAAGTAAGTATTTGCTCCACAAATGCCTCAAATCAATGCTGACGATTTATATGGCTTTTTACTCGGGAGGCTTCTCCTGAACTATATTTCTTGTTGTTGCGATCAAAGTTGTAATCTGGTTCTGGAGTGTGACCTGGAGCTATGACTTGGACTACTAAGCCCGCATATCTGCTGGTACCAGATGTTACCTGAAATATAGGACATCTAGTTAGAATGATCATCTGCTTGTGATCCAAGCGTAGTTGATAAATTGATTGATGATAAGAATAGAACAAATGAGACCTGTGTTGAAGATTTCATAACATCTTGAATCAGATAGATATTTGAATCACGCTGATACAAAGTTTGCTCAATTGAACAGAGGTTCTCGATGATAATGCAATACCAAAATTTCCGTATATGGACCGATAGAAGATGTTATTTGAGGTTTTGTTTGCGAAGAACAAACGTGATAGCCATAGATGGCATTTACATGCAGATTTCCAAATATTAACAAAGATAAAATTTCAGCATGGTAGATACATATTCATATAGTCTGACAATGTGATAGTTGAGTTAAAGTAGCAATATGGAGAAAATATGAAAATGAACCTAAATAGGTATCAGTGAGTCATCTTAAAAATAAGTTATAAGAGAAAAAAATTGATGCTCTCAAGGAAGATAATTTAAATATTACTATCTCTGTCTCAATTTATGTGATGGTGTTTGACTAGCCACGGAGTTTAAGAAAGAAAGATAGACTTTTGAAATTGTAGTCTAAAATAAGCCATAGATACTTGAATTACGCTGATTACATACATTGATATTGCAGATCTGTGTCGAAGATTTCATAACATCTTGAAAAGGGAAATATGTCATTAAAAAATGAGACAGTGAAATAGCAAAGAATTTAAAAGCTCTTTTTTTCTTTTTCTTTTTTCTTGCTTACCTCAATAGATTCCCAATGAGTTTTATATGCACAGCTATAGATCAGATTGTTTCTAGTTGAATGTAATGTAAAAGAAGCATCTTTGTTGGACCAAATTACTATCTATTCAAATTCTAAATGTTCCTTGATCAACAATCGGCTGAAGGATAAAGGCTTTGGTTGTCTTTAGAGCGCTCATTAGTTATTTCTTTCTTCTTAATGTTGCAGTACATGGTTCTAAGTTTATGTTTCCTAAGGCCTTGCTAAATCCTTTATTATTATTATTATTTCTTGTTGAAGATAAATGAAGGAAAAGTACCAAAAGATCGGGTTGCTCTGCAGATGCTTGCAGAAGAGATGAATTCATGGCCTAATTTGGAGGTATTACTGTGACCTCAAACATTCTTCTGAACACAATTTTACAATTAAGCATGATAGTAAATGCTCGCAGTTCATCTTCCATTCTGTGCGGCTGAAAAAACACTTACTTTAGTTTGGGAGGGGAGCAGGGGCTGTGAAGTAGTAATTAAATTCTCTATAAGGTTGCTTGATTGTTTTCTTCCATAGCACTCGGCCAACAAATGCATTATTAGGTTCACTTATGTCTCAAAGTCATCCATAAGCATTCTAATATTTTGATTTCACAATTTTACTCAACTGCACTGCATAGTAGGTTGACAAACACACTATATGCTTTTTGAAGCAGGTTTATGCAGTTATCAGTCGTTCTAATAAAATGTGCCAGTTTTTAATAGCCAGAATCAGATTGACATACTTAATATTGGGGTTGGGAGGTGGGGAGAGACTGCAATAGTATTACTCAGGTTTTTATCGAAGATTGAGAAATGTTCCAATCCAGACCATGGATAAGAAGGTGGTCTTGATTTGCATTTCAAATTAAAAGAAATTCAACAAGTTACTACTTCTTTAGCTAGATTCCTTTTTAGTAGTGAGTCGGCTAAAAGTAAATGAGGTGGCCTCTGATAAGAAATTTAATTTTCTTATGTTTTAAATGAGGGATATATACTGCTCAGGGAGAAAAATCTCAATAATTTGACCTTTGGGTCGAGTTTTTTTCCCTAATAAAAGTTAGCTTTAATGGCTTGGAGATATGTTAGTGAAACTTTATCAGTTTACGCCAATCAACAGAAAGCAAATTCTAAACCATCCAGTCCATGGTGTTAAATTTAAACCTTTCACTCCCAAAGTCAAACACGCTGATCAAAATGAAATCTTTTAATTGCATTGAAATTTTTAACACTGATTTATTGGTTGAATAGTTTCTCCTCAATTTTTGATTTCTGGACAGTTTATATCTTTCCAAACCATTTTCTGAAAAGTAGCAGAAATCTTTTTTTTTTTTTTTTTCTTTTCTTTCTTTTTGAAAGTTTGTACACCAGTACTATTTTCTTTCATGTATTAAGCTTTTACGTGATCTGGACAATTCCATTTACAAATAATCTTGATTTTTTTTTTTCATTTCTTGAAATCAAGTGAGACTCCTTGATTGATTGTACATCCCCTGGGAACGCGATGTCTTTGTAGTGGCACCAATTTCATCATTCAGACAATTAGTAGTTATACTGTATTCTTGTTGGATTTAGGTTGAAGCCTCGAAGCAAAATAAGAGCAGATCCCTGTATGCAAAAGCCACAGACACTGGTATTGATCCAAAAGAGGCTGCTAAGCGGCTCAAGATTGACTGGGATTCAGCAGCTGAGATTGAGGAGGCAGCTGATAGTGACGAACCAGACATTCCTCCAGTTCTGGTTAGTCGACGATATAAATGCTTAGATATTTCTCTGGTTATTCCTCATGTTCTGATTGTTCATTAGGCTGGCTAAGTTCTATTCCCGATAATCAGCTTGCAATTTAATGGAGTATGTTAAATGCACCAATTTTTACATGTTATTGAGTGAATACCTGGCAAAACAACAAGTTCACTTTTCTTGAAAAGTTAAAAGTATCAGATCATGACTAATCCTGTTTGGCCAAGCTTCTGGGAAGCCAAAACCCAAAAGTACCTTTTTTATTTTAAAAGAATGCTCATTTTAGATAGTAAAGGTGTTTGGCCAAGCGAAAAAGGTAGTTTTTTTCCGTGAGCACTTTTGGAACCTTAGCATGCACAAATTGTTGCTATAATATGCTAAAATTCTTTCTCAATTTATTAGTCGAGCACAAATTGCTATTTCCAACGGTACTTTTTTCGAAAATCATTTTTCAAAATAAGCTGTTTTGGAAGCCTTGGCCAACAGTCTATAGATCAAGTTTAGCTGGTATCCCAGAAAAATGTTAGCTTCATGAAAGAATACGATCCTGGTAGAAAAAAGCATCGTTGCAAAGAGCTCAAATGTTTTCAGATGCATTATAATATAGCTCCATCAAGTAGTAATTATGGAAAATTCTCTTAACTGTAGGTGTTTTAGTTTTAGACCATGTGCTTGATTAGCGAGATCAGGTGCTTATTGAGATAAAACTTAAATCATAAAATCTAATTGTAATATAGAAGTTGGCTAGATATGTTGCTGTCATTACCGCTTCATTTGGAGCTGGTTCTGACGAGGGACATTTTCGTGCAGGGATATGGAGCTTTATACTTGGTCTCTGCATTACCAGTCATCATTGGCATCTCTGTTGTGTTGATTCTGTTCTATAATTCTCTACAGTGATACACCTTTTGGCATTTTTGCAGGGTCGATAGTGTACACGATTTGTCCTTCCAATCATAACAATAGTGGAAACTTAAATTTTGTCATAGCTATATGTAAGTGAATCAGTTAGATCTCTTGCATACGCGACGGTGTTGTTTCGTCTCATCTCAATAATTTAGTTAGTTGTATAATTCTATTATATTATATTCAACCGTGTGATTGCACGTTCATTTTATTAAATTTGAGTTTAAAAGTCTGAATTAAGTTGTCTAAAATATAGTAGTCACCAGACATAATATAAGAATATTTTGAGATTTTCTTTATTCTTTTTGAGTTGATGGAGGGTATATAAACATTGAACCTTTTATGCCGGTGGAAATGCTAATATAATTCTTTTTTTCTTAGGCATCCGGAATCTAAAACTCACTGATCCGACTAATTCAGCTTAGCGTGACGTAGGCCCACTATAGGTAGTAAAGTGTTTCCTATCAAGTTGTTCTTATTCACATGACTCGAATCAATATATTTAGGTAGGGGTATAGAGGAATATTAGTTATTGCACCACACTCCTAGGTGGAGCAAGAATGTTAGCAATGAGTTCGGTAGAACTCAATAGTTTTGGATCACTAATGGTATGCTTATATGAACTTGAGCAATGCTCTCTCTCAAGAATTAGATTTTGGGAATGTGTTAAGCTTAAATGTCATATTTTTACATGGTATAAGAGTCGGGTTTAAACTCCTCAATTAGGTTTGTGCATAAAGAGGGTATTAGAGTTTGGTTTCACTTTTGTGCTTGGTGGTTGGTTACTAGAACTTGTTGTCCACTTAGTTGATGCTAAGTCAAAGTATGACATAGTATAATATATTAATGAGATTTGTTTTCCACACACGTTGGGACAAGAAGACGTGACAATCATTACTAAGATATAATCCAATACAAAGACATGTCTCCCACAATATCTATGTTTAGCTTTCTACCCCCTTAAATACCTAAAATCTATAGTTGATGGACATCTCAATTCTCACTCAACTTTCACACTCCAAACTTCAAATATGCCTTCATTCATAAATGTTCAAGATTCAAATGAATCTGACTTCCCTATTTCCTTGAAAGAATCAACAAATACACATAAAAAATCTGACATTTTAACAATTCCTCTGCCTATGCCACCATCAAAGAAGTTCTTGAGCAACAGCCTTCCAAACTCAACAACTTCATCACCTAGATTTGCATCAAAGAAAAAGTCCAAAAATCAACCTTCTCCTCTCTCCAACAACCCTTTGGCTAGGCAACATTCTGTGGCACTGGCGAACCTCGAACGGTTGAAAGAAGATCACTTAAGGAGGAGCAAGTCATGTGGTGAAGGAAGATCAAGCGCGCCACCGGATAAACATGTTGTTGGATTAATCACAAAGGTAATGAATAGTAGTAGTAGTAGTGTTAAACATGTTGAAGAAAGCAAAGTAGATGATAAAGCAGAATCTATTGATCAAAAGTTCAAATGTGGTGCTATGTGTTTGTTTATACCTGGTTTAGGAAAAGCAAAACAAGTGAGAGCCAGGAGGGTAGAAATAGAAACTGAAATAGTACATGATGTTGGACACAATGTTTCAAGAAAAGTGTCATTGGAGAAATTTGAATGTGGATCATGGACATCATCAGCTATAATCAATGATGAAGAAAGTGAAAATGATGATTCCAATCTCTTCTTTGATCTACCAATTGAGCTAATCCAATGTAGCGATGATAAGGACATGACTTGTTCACCAGTAACAACTGGATTTGTTTTTGACAAGGAACCAAAAGGGGTCCTAAAGAACACCACCACAACAAAAACTAGTGAGTCCACAATGCGCCATGTTCGCTTTTCTACCTCAGACCCTGACGCTGGCTCGCCTACGTCCTGCATGACTCCTCGCATGCGCAAGGCAAGGGAAGATTTCAATGCACTCCTAGAAGCCCAATGTGCATGACCCGAGCCGGATCCAAGTCCAACCACAGGTTTTGGGTTCGACATTAATGATTTAAGCTCGAACCCTACATATATATACTCCTTCTGTTTCAATTTATTTGTCTTACTTTTCTTTTTAGTCCGTTTTAAAAAGAATGTCTCTTTCTTTGGCAACTCCTAACTTTCCACATGACAAGTTTAAGACCACATTCAAACTTGAGATGCATATGACATGATTCTTAAGGATATTTCACCAGTAAAAATGTATTTCATATTCCAACAAACTTTTCTAATATAAACTGAAGGCAGATAGAATAGAGACTAAACAAAAGAAAACCTAGCACTATACAAAGAATAGTTTGTGATGTCAAATCCATTAACATGATATTAAGAGAATTAACTTAGACATGAATTTTAAGACTTCTTTTTTCTATATAAAATTCATTTTTCCAACAATTCTCCATATATTTCAAAATAGAATAAAATAAAATAAAAAGTTCGGTTGGATTTTCATAAATGAGCAAAATACATTGAATTGGGTGTTTCTTGGATTATGAATCAAACCTAGACAAGACATATTTTTTATCTACGAGCCAATCTTTAGAAATTATGCGATTTTTTTGATTTTTCGTGTGTATTAGCCCATAGATCTGGCGCCTTGGAGCACCCAAATTTTTTTATGAGGACCTTCGTAATGAGTTAGGAAAGCATTACATATATAGTCCCACCATTTTTTAAGACATTTTTCGCATTTACGAGCCAATTTTTAGAAATTAGTCAACTTTCTTGTTTTTTTTCATGTGTGTTAGCCCATTGATCTGGCGCCTTGGAGCACCCAAAATTTTTTAAGGCACCAGATCTATGGGCATACACACTAAAAAATTAAGAAAGTCGACTAATTCCTAAAAGTAGACTCATAAATGCAAAAATATGCCTTAAAAAATAGTGAAACTATACGCAATGTTTCCCCAATTCATTATAGAGGTCCTCATAAAGTTTATCAAAAAAATTGGGTGCTCAAAGGTGCCAGATGCATGAGCTAATATGCACGAAAAACCAAGAAAGTCGGCTAATTCCTAAAAGTTGACTCGTAAGTCTTAAATGTGAAAATATGCCTTAAAAAATTGTGGGACTATATGTAATGTTTCCCCATCTCATTACGTTGGTCCATATATAATTTTTTCAGAATTTTTTTTTTTGTGTGCTCCAAGGCGCTAGATCCCTTGGCTAATACATACAAAAAACCAAGAAAGTTGGCTAATTCCTAAAAATTGACTCGTAAGTGCAAAAATATGCCTTAAAAAATTCTGGGACTATACACAATGATTCTCCAACTCATTACGGAGGTCCTCATAAAATAATTTTAGAAAAAAAATTTGGGTGCTCCAAGGCGTCAGATCCATGGGCTAATACACATAAAAAAACAAGAAAATCGGTTTATTCCTAAAAGTGGGCTCGTAAACGTGAGAATATGTCTTAAAAATAGTGAGACTATATGCAATGTTTCCCCAACTTATTACATTGGTCCTCATGAAAAAAAATTGGTGCTCCAAGGTGCCTGGGCTAATAAACACGAAAACCAAGAAAGTCGGCTAATTCCAAAAAAATTGACTTGTAAATGCGAAAATATGCATTAAAAATGGTGGGACTATACGCAATGTTTCCCTAACTCATTACGGAGGTCCTCATAAAAAAAATTCAGAATTTTTTTTGGGCGCTCCAACGTATCAGATCCATGGGCTAACACACAAAATATCAAAAAAGTCGGTCAATTCCTAAAAGTTGGCTCGTATATGTAAAAATATGTCTTAAAATGGTGGCACTATACGCAATGCTTCCCCAACTCATTACGGATGTCCTCATAAAGTTTTTTTTAGAAAAAAAATTGGGTGTTCCAAGGCGCCAGATCCATAGGGTAATACACACGAAATACCAAGAAAGTCGGCTAATTCCTAAAAATTGGCTCGTAAATGCGAAAATATGCCTTAAAAATGGTGGGACTATATGCAATGCTTCCCCAACTCATTACGGATTTCCACATAAAGTTTTTCAGAAAAAAAAAATTAGGTTCTCCAAGACGCCAGATCCATGGGATAATATACACGAAAACCAAGAAAGTCGGTTAATTCCTAAAAGTTGACTCGTAAATGCAAAAATATGTCTTATAAAAGTGGTGGGACTATACGCAATGCTTCCCCAACTCATTACGAATTCTTATAAAAAATTAGAATTTTTTTTTGGGTGCTCCAAGGCTCTAGATCCATAGGTACACACAAAAAACCAACAAAATTGGCTCGTAAATGTAAAATTATGTCTTAAAATGGTGGACCATACACAATGCTTCCCCAACTCTTTATAGATGTCCTCACTAAGTTTTTTCAGAAAAAATAAAATTGAGGTGCTCTACAGTGTCAGATCCATGGGCTAATGCACATAGAAACCAAGAATGTCGGTTAATTCCTAAAACGTGTTTCGTAAATGCGAAAAATATGCCTTAAAATGGTGGAATATACACAATTCTTCCCCAACTCATTACGGATGTCCTCATTAAGTTTTTTTAGAAAAAAAATTTGGTTGCTCTACAACGTTAGATGCATGGGCTAATACACATGAAAACCAAGAAAGTCGGTTAATTCCTAAAACTTGTCTAATATGCCTTTAAAAAGTGGTGGAACTATCTTTAAATTAAAAAAAAAAGTGGTGGAACTATATGCAATGTTTCTCCAACTTATGATGGAGGTTCTCACAAAGTTTTTTTAGTACAATTTTTTGAGTGTTCCCTCCATATACATGGGCTAATGCATACAAAAACCAAGAATGTCGGTTAATTTTAAAAATTAGCTCATAAATGCGAAAGTATGCCTTAAAAAATAATAAGATTATACGCAATACTTTCCCAACTCATTTAAAATTTTTTTGAAATACTCTAAGGTGCTTGATCCATAAACTAATACACATAAAATACTAAGAAAGTCACATAATTCTTAAAAATTGGATCGCATACGAAAAATATGCCTTACCGACTCATGAAAAATGAAATAGGTCGAATTAATTTTGCACCAAACTTATGTCATTATCCAAAATCTAAACTGTACATATACATCTATATCCCTTTCATATTGTGTTTTAGGCTATTGGGTTTCACACACGTTGACAGACAAATGGCAACATACTTACACTACACCAAAAACTTCACAAACACATCAACACCTTTTTCCAAATGAAGAAATTGTTCGTCTGATGACGAGAATTATTCATTTTAAAATATATATATAAATCACTTTAAATTAGTTACAAAATTTATTAATATATTTTTCAAGTTATATTCATATGCAAATAAATTCCATTTTCTGAATATTATTTTTTAATACTTTTTTGTCTCAAAGTATATAGTATTATTTATGTCCAAACATCCACTTATTTCTACCTTTACTAAAAGCATCATTATTAATAGGCACATGCAAATTTAAGCAAAGGTGATAGATTAAAAAAAAAAAAAAGTTTAATTAGAGTAGGCTTGTTTACAAAGTCAAGAAATTGCTCATCTTTTCTTTCCATGTCAGGTTTAGTTAAATGATTTAAAGAATTCCAATAAAGCTCCTTCTGTCATCCACCACTTTGATAAATTATCCATTTTTTTGCTTTATAACATGAAAACTAAAGGGTCGCGCAAGGTGTAGAATAGTGTTGAATATAGTATATTAATAATATTTGTATCAATTATGTTAACATTATTTTTTATATATGATTGATTTAATATATTAAAAATAATATGAAGTAAGGTATTTTAAAAAAAATATTTATTTACAAAAATATCTTCTATAAATATAGTAGAAAGAATAGAGAAAAGATTTTGAAAAATAATTATATCTTTAATGCATATATTAAAATTTGTTACATTATTAACATCATAATTTTTCATGTATTAATTATATATATTGTAATATTAAATAAAGTAGGTAATTAATGCTCAACACATAATGCATGAGTTACACACAAATATAAATGATCTCACATTTTAAATTAAAGAAAAGAGATAAAATCAACTCATAGTTTGGTAATTTTTTAGTTAATATATTTTATTAAAAAAAGCACTAACTAACTCATGATGATCAAGAATCCTAAAAGAATGAATATAAAGTTAGTTGAGGTCCCTTTCGCAAAGCAAAAAACGACAGTCATAACATAACGTCTCCATCTTAGAGCTCTTTCTAAAAAAATTATGTAATTCCCCGTCTCATTTTATGTAACTATCTTTAAAATTTTCATTTTTCAACCACACATTTAAAAAATATTTTAAATTATAAATTTTAAAAATAAATTCTTAAATATTATGTCAAATCAACTGGTATCACCTAAAATGAGACTGAGAAAATAATTTTTTTTAAGGGCGGTTGGACCACCGACACTATTACCCAAATTTCAGCCAATTATCATTTAAAAAAAAAAAAAAGGAATCACTTCAGTGCATTGGGAAAAACCTTATTACTATTAAGAAATAGCAAAGTACAAAACACCAATTTAATCCTATAATATTATACCAAAACATGTACCACCTGTCTCTGTTGTTTCTATATCTATCTTAAAATAACAATAAAAATTTATCATACAGAAAAAGAACCTCAAAAAAAAAAACAAGTAGGTAGTAAATATGGACTTCATTCACTATTGTCTAGTTTTTTGTAGTGTAGAACCAATCATCTTGAGCTCGAACCTCTTCACAGTTCCAGCAATGTCTCTCATTGTTGTGTCCACTTCATACGGTGTTTGGTCAACGGTGATCGTCGTGGCATTGACCAGCTGTCGACATGGCTCCCTGTGTTCGGCTATCGTCCCGTGATAGTGGAAATACTTGATCCTTCCTTCCGTCTTGTGAGTCGTCTTGCCCACCGTGTTTTGTGACATGTGCACCCCCGTTGCTATAACGTTGCGCGGTTGCACCGCGTATTTCCTGTCCCTTCTTATTCCTCTCTTCACATCCTTGTATACTAGCTTCTCAAATCCCCATTTCCTGCGATGAAATCATCGTGAATTGACTGGTTTTACGTTTATAGTTAGGTTACTTCCAAAATCATTTGATTAGACAACAATATAAAAGCATCCAACAATACTAAAGACATTGTCCTTACAATAGACAATTTAGTGTGTAATTTAAGAAATTAAAACAGTATAACTCAATAATTTAAGATTTCAATAATACTATCAATCAATGCAA